GAAAGACCACGTCTTATTCTATCTGTGTATGCCTAGTGTCAATTCTGTCTGTGGCTGCCTAGTGTCAAGTGTAGTGGATACTCTCTAAATGCTTGTGGTCATGTTGGGCTTAATCAAACTTAAGGTAGCCGAGTGACTGGAAGTCATGAATCATGATTTTGTAAACTTGAAATAATTCATTTCCGTTTATGTGTTGAATCAGATACCCTATTAGGCCTAATACCAATATCGAAAGAGGTAGCAGGTAACAAATGTTTTAGAAAAATTGGGGGAGCAAACTTAACATTCAGAATTTTACTCTTTAACATATGTTATTCTCTGTGAAATTGGGAAAAGGATCGTTATTTAAATTTTTTGATAGAACGCCTCAGTAGAGCTAAAGTAATACGAATTTTCCAGTGAAATTTTCCACTGGAGCAAAGTTTGACCACCATCAATTGAGTGACCCTCTAATTGTTACTGTAAGTCGCATTTTAAAGTTTTGGTTTCACTTTATAAGGATACATTTTTCAGCACATAGACCTTTGTAAGGATCATGACTTTTGGACACCAGACTACCTTGGCAAGCTGTCCTGAAATGATATTTTAAACAATTTTAGGCTCTATTTGATATGGCATTCTGGTGGTATGGTAAAACAAAACAAAACAAAACAACCCCAAAACCCACTGTATTTTCTTTTTCTCTTAGGCTTATCTCCTCTTTCTTTAATAGATCAGAATAGTGTGTTTTGTTTATTTAAAAAAAATTGAGGAAAATTTTCAAGCATTTCTTTTGGAAAGTACCACCACTCTACCCTTTGAATAGGTTTGGAAAATAATGTTTGAACAAATGCAGGGCCAATTCCTTAGAGTGATTCCTATTTGAATATGTAGAGTTGTATAAATAATAGCCTCCACAGGGACAACATCTTTGGACTACATGCATTTTTTTTTCTACGACTCTATAGCTGAAAACAATTGTACAGTACAGTAGGGTGGTCTTTTTAGGAAGCAGATCATTTCACAAGTATCATTTCTGGCTCTTTTGCTAGTCCCAGTCTACGAGTCCTACCCACTGCCAGTTCTATCCCTTTGACCCAGTTTTTGAATTGATTTTTAAGACTGAAAACATATTAAGACCTCCATCCCCTTCCGGAGGTGGGATCTGGAATTATTCTGGTGCCCTGAGCATTCATTGCTCACAGAAGTATGGTATCTCACCATACCATTAGCATGTATGCAGTTTGACTATGAGATTCTCATTTTTAAAGACAGTTTACTCATCAAGAGTTTTGAAATATATAGCATAAACACTGTGTGTGTGTGTGAGGTATCTAGAAAATTTGATATAGGTTTAGATGGAATTAAGATATAAATTCATTAATCAGTAAGAATTAGAGTATCTGGTCCTTTCCCCTGACACTTTAAGGTCATACTTCAGTCAGTTAAACAGATGACTATTTTGTTTTTGAGTATTTATTTATAAAAGTAACCAGAGAAGCAGTTCCACAGCCTTTCTTTAGTAAGTGTTAAATAGTCCATAGAGTTGATAATGTTTTCCTGTGTTGTTTCTTTTTGTATTCCAGATCCCTTGTGAACCTGAAACCTTGTCTTAAGCCTGCTTATGAACTCTAACCACTTGGTCATCTGACTCTCTTTGTCGTCCCCTCTGCCCCTCAGGGAGTTGGGACCTGTTCTTGTCCACAGGTGGATGGTTGGGGCTCTATTTCAACCGAGGCAGATCTTGCAGAGCCAAGATACTGTGATACTGCCTCCGGGACTTGCACTTACTGGATTGACCCCTTACATACTGAGGATAGGCTATCTGAGAGCTGGGCTCTTTGGCTGTTATGATTTGAGCTCACACTGAGGCTCCACTTTTCATTTGCATCAGGCTCTAGAACATCCTAGACTTCATTCAGTCATTACTTAGATCCCTTTCCTGATGACTACATAGCTGTTGGATTCTTTGCCTTCTTAGCTGAGTCATGTAATGGGTGATTTTTGTCCCCCATTTTCAGTGGTAGCTAATTATTTTCAAGTGTTTGATTCTCTACCCAGGTCTTCTCTCAGTTTTGAGCTTTCATTTGACCAAGTGGCTGTTGCACTTTCCCATAGCACACTTGTTCATTATTTGTGTTTCCTTCTAGACTGTGTGTACCCCGAGTGTTGAGACCGCATCTGTGCTGTTCTGGGTGGTGTCCTTGGCACTCAGTATAGTGCCTGGCACATAGCAGGTGGTAAATAAATATTAATTAATACAAAATTCATCTTAACAGTGAGTCTGTTATCAGTATGGGAAATCAGTGTTCATTTGGAAATTTAGATTTCATATAAGAAATTTAGACATTTCATCACCATCATTAGTACTAAGGTCTGTGTATTGTAAGTTATAAGCAAGTCCATGTGAAAAATAGCTTCATCAGTCATCTGGGAGGGCATTTATTTCAGAAGAAAAGGTATAATTTTCACCATGTATTTTTAGGTATTGCACATTTCAGTTTTTCTTGAGTTTGATTACCATGAGTATAATAATATTTCTTACACATTGAAGTTTTATGGCACTATAAAGAAGTGAATTTAATTGCCCTCTTTTTGTTCATTAGTAATTATATACTAAAGAGTAAATTCTCATTAAAAGGCCCTTAAATGCCTGCTCATAAAAAAGAGAGACCGCTTTGATTTTGTTGTCCATACAATCCTAGTTATTGTTTTGAGGGTAGTCATCAAACTCTTTAGTAGTCTAAACCTTTAATTTGGTTTCAGAACAGTAGTCAGTCATGTGTTGAATACCCAAATTACCGTGTCTTTAAAAAGTAATGCAAACACTCTGTATTAACAAGGTAATGACCATAACTTTTCCTGTAGAATTTCTTGTGCTAATTTTTTAAAGAGGACTTATTGAACTAAATTTCCTGTGAAGGCCAAAATCTTACACTTTTAATGATAGTGGAGTAGATGTGTCTGTGTAGAGAGGAGGGGATGGTATTTCTTGTAGTGGTATTTTTAAGTGGACAGTTTACTAATTATGTTGAGGTAACATTTTACAACTCTAAAAGGAAAACTTCAATTATCTGAATGAAATGAGGTACATGAAGTTAATTCAGATAAATGGGGGACTCCTTAGTGTAAATGATGCATGTCAAGAGACATGACCTCAATCTTGATTTTTTTTTTTTCTTCTATATATCTGTCAGCTGCTTTTACATTGCTAGATTGTGATTCTTTTTCTGTGATGGGAGGAGGTAAAATTTGCTCTGTAGTTTTTTTGTTTTTTTCCTTGGCCACAAAGGGAATCCAGAATGTGGTATTCTGTGACAAGTATATTGCTCATCTCTCGCCTGTGCTGCCCTGCCCTTTTAGGTGGTATACCACAGCCTTCCATTTTGTCACCTTCTTGTCAAATGTCAGATGTGTGTGTGGATTCCTTGAGAATACAATTTGTTTGAAATTAAAGCCACACTCCTCTGTCCAATCACAAGATGTTTATACTTCCTAAAAGTTGAGTTACCTCAAGTTACGATGAATTGACCTGGGTAAACCTTGATGCCTTCCCTGTCCCCTTAGGGTTTAATATTAAGCAGTATCTTATGATGTAGGACCTTAAAATAGCAACAAGCACTGGGGCATAACCCCTGGCTTTTATGGATCCTTACTTGAAATGAAAATGTTGCTGACTGATTAGAGTTTAGGAAAGCTTTAAGAAACTGATTTCTTTTGTCATTTACTACATTTTCAGCATTCCTGGGCTCCTGGCATCTGAAAGCTGTTCTGTAAAGAGTAGTCTGTGTAGCTGTGATGACATTTTCTTCTAGGCATTGTTTTGTTTTTAGACAGAGGTAGGGTTGGGTGCCTGGGTGGCTCAGTTGGTTAAGCGACTGCCTTCAGCTCAGGTCATGATCCCGGAGTCCTGGGAACGAGTTCCACATCGGGCTTCCCCTGCTCTGCAGGGAGCCTGCTTCTCCCTCTGCCTCTGCCTGCCACTCCCTGTGCTTGTGTGTGCGCTCTCTCTCTGTGTCAAATAAATAAATAAATGAAATCTTAAAAAAAAAAAATAAACAGAGGTAGGGTTATCTCAGCTATAGAGATGTGTGCTGACATCTATGTAAAGTGAATTTTTCTTCTTTTTTTCCCACATTACCTGTCGATGTTTTACCTAAAGCACCTGAGAATGTGTCTCTTTATTTTCAGCATGTATCATCTTCCTTTTTGTCTCTTGGTCTTTGAGATACAAGATGATTCATATCTTGATTGCCTTGGGTAAAGTGGATATGATATGATATCAGCAAGCTCTGTATCCAGACCTTGTGAGCAATTCCTAGGTCATTGCCTGAGACCTTCTTAAATACATACAGGCAGTGTGATTGAAGAGTTTAGGCTTCAGGGTCAGTCCAAACTGATTCTGACCCTGTCCCATTTATGAACAGCATGCCTTTGGGGGGAAGTTAGTTACTGTTCTGGGTTTCAGCTTCCTTAGAATAATCTTAGCTGGACTGATTTGTTGTCCTATGCAGGTAAGTGTTTAGTAAGTTAGTGAACTATCTACCTAGATCATGGGCTATTTTAAAAGAAAGTAGGTTTTGTTCTATTTGAAGACAGAGATAATCAAATTAGTAAAAAATTTTACAAATAGAGGTCTTGCTCATTTGAGTTTAAAACTATGTAAGACTTGGAACGATTGAATTTTTTATATACACAGGGTATACTCATATGTGACAGAGAGAGGCAAAATATGTAGCATACTTGTTGGATTAAGACAGACTTGGATGATCAAGCACTTGGATAACCTTGGGCAGGGAACTTGCCCTTACTGACTCAGTTTTCTTCTGTAAAGTAGGTAATAAAAGTGTCAAGAATAATAAAGGGTGAAAAAGGATAGTAGGTTGTTGTAAAGACTTAAGAGATGACGTATACAAAATACTTAGTAATGCCTGAATCCATAAATACTGATAGTTGTTATTGTGACCTCAGACAAATGACTTCCCCTCTCTCTACCTCAGGTGTCCTCCTTGGTAGCATGAATATTATCAGAGAACTAATAGAGTTGTTATGAGGATTTAATGAGATAATACATGTAAGTGCTCATTATGTGTTAATTGGTATTGTTACATTATTAATGCAGTTTCAGAATGAATTGGACCAATTTTGAGTTAAAATGAAAGAATTTGTACAGATATTTAATATAATTCTTTTTTTTAAAGAATATAATTCTTATGTTGGGGGATATTTATTAAGGATTTGGAGATGGCAACTTACCATTTATAGCTTTCAGTTCTCAAATTATGATGTGCAGACCCATAAGCGTCACAAGAGCCTTTAAAGGGATCCATGAGGTTAAAACTATTTTCATAGTAATACTTTTTGCTGTTTCCACTGCTTTGATGTTTGCCTTGCTGATACTAAAGCAATGGTGGGTAAAACGGTGGACATCTTAGTATGTATTAAATGGCAAGGGCACCAAAGTTTATTAGTAATCATTGTATTCTTTACTACCTTTCTTTTCCAGTAAAAAACAAAACAGGGGCGCCTGGGTGGCTGAGTCTTTAAGTGTCTGTCTTTGGCTCAGGTCATGTGGGATCAAGCCCCACATTGGGCTCCCTGCTCAGTGGGAAGCCTGCTTCTCCCTCTCCCACTCCCCCTGCTTGTGTTCCCTCTCTTGCTGTGTCAATCTCTGTCAAATAAATAAATAAAATCTTTAAAAACAAACAAAACAGGAAAGCCAGTTTCACTGAAGAATGTCATTGATGAAGCAGTAAAAATAATTTTATTAAATCTTGATCCTTGAGTATACTTTAATATTCTTTGTGATGAGGTAGGAAGTATGCAAAAAACATTTCTGCTGTATATGCAGAGTACATTGGTTGACTCAAGGAAAACCCTTCTGTGATTTTTTGAGTTGCAAGCTGAATTAGTCATATTTTGCATGAAGCATCATTTTTACTTACAATAATGACTACCAAACTATGATTGTTTAGACTTAGATATTTGGCAGTCGTTTTCTTGAAAATGAACAAAGTGAGCCTGTCACTTCGGGGAAAACAACTGATAATATTTGTTGCCAATGATAAAATTTGAGCTTTCAAGTGAAAATTAAAATTTTGGAAAACTTGTGTCACCTGCTGTGCCCTTGACAGCTTCCCAATACTTAAAGATTTTTCTGATGAGATGGGTGGTGATGTTAATGAATGTGAGTTTTTGCTATGGTATTAATTAATTATGTAAAAATTTGGAATATAAACATAATGCAAGAAACCGATATTTTCAAAGTGATCAGTGTTACAAAATTATGGATAAAAGGCCCTTATAAAAAAAGCAAGTAACATAATACAAAGAGTTCATGTGATAATAGGTTCCATATAATAGATAACCATTAAACTCCTACTTGTCAAGTTTTAGTGTAGTATCAAAGAAGAATGTTCACAATTATCTGAAAAGGCAATTAATATTAACATATGATTCCTTTTTTCTATTACAGTCAAAATAACATATCACAACAGATTGAATAAAGAAGCAGATACAAGAATTCATCTATTAAATTAGACATGCAAGAAATTTTTTTTTTAGGAAAGTACTTTTTCATAAAATATGTTATTTGTCATATTAAACATGTCATAAAATTTTAAAATGAATTAATGTTTACACTTTCTCATTTAATTTCTAATACAGTAAATATTGATAATTATAACTCACATTAACAAAAACTCTTGAGAGTTCTCAATATTCGAGGACACAGAGGAGTCTTGATACTAAAAAGTGTGAACTCTCTCCTCAAGGGAAGGAGACTAGGTTCGTCAAATGAGCAAAATTCTAAAGTTTTTAGTCTTTTGATTATTCCTTTGGAATATGGACTACATATCTCTACTTTTTTTTTCCTGGTAGTAAGGGTATGTTACTGGACTCTGTCATTCCCCAAGTGGGAACAGGGTTCCTGTATGTATTGTTGAAGAAGATTTTCATTTTTATTTAAGATTGATACTACATATATGGTTGCTACTCAGAATTGAGATTTGGCTAATGGTCATTTCAGTCAGTCTCTTCATTTTTGATGCTACTCATTTGTTTGTGTTAGAGCTATTCATGCAGTTTTCAGAGTTGTTCACCATGGCAGTCTATTTCAGGGTTGTAGTGAAAATCACTTTGCTGAAAATAGATTGCCATTTTCTCTGAAGTCTTTACGTGAGGCTAATCTGTTCTATTATAAAGTCTTCCTGACATTTCGTAGCTATTTTTTAGTACAGTCAGTCTACAACTTATGAATGTGTTTGTGAATTGTTTGCAACAATACAATATGAATTACAGATGGGTTCTATAGTACCATTAATAGTATGGGCATAGCCTCATCGTCGACTATTGACATGTTTCTTTGGGGAATTATATTCTCAGTGCTGGAAATCTAGCCGGATGCATTTCTCCACTGTAGTCAGTGGCAAGAAACCCTCCTTTTCCCCTTACAATAGAACTGGGGTTGTTAAAGCTTTGATAGAAGCAAGACAGACTTCTGAGGCACTGCTCAAGAAACACAGGTATTTTGAGCACTCCAAGTGGGTAAAGGGTGATGGGTAGTACTCTCAGATGAAGCAGGTATAGAAACTTTGGGCCAACTAGGCAATGACGAAGGGAAAAAGGGGAAGGGATCTTGTGACTGCTGCTTGGGGTGGATATATTCCCTTTTGGGGCAGTTGCTAAAAAATAAGAGATGCCTTAACATGGGTATTTCTAGGGTGGGAAATCCATCTATATAGAGGTTTGTCTTGTGCTCTTATGTTTGGTTATTGTATGAACTGAGCTCAAGAAACAGAATGATGGGCTAGTTGGGAAGATTAAACTCATGGGTTTGTAGGCCAGAGGTTTGAATGTAAAAGGAAATCAGTAAACTCCAGGAGGAGTTCATGATCAGGAGGAGTAGTGGAGGTCGGGAGAATGTTGGAGTATGCAGACTGTCCACAGGGCCTGAACAAATTCATGTTACAGTGTGCTTGTTAGAGCAGGGGTAGAACTAGCTATCAGCCAGCACAGTGACTGCTGTGACTCAGTCTATTACCCTAGGATCTCTAGTGGGAAATAGAGAATTTTAAGACTGGTATTAGTGCAGGAAGCCTGTTATGGAGAATGGTTAACATAAAGCAGAAATCCAGAACCAGGAGAACTTAGGGATACAGAAGAGGCCAGCGTTGGAGAGGTATTTGATTTGAAACTGAGCTTCTTGTCTTCTTCTGCCCAAGGGCAATATTGACTCCTTGGATTGAGGCAAGGCTGAGCCAAAGTGGAAAGCAAAGTAACTATAGCTGTCTACACTGGAATGACAGACGTACCCAGAAATATTTGTTAAACAAATGTATGAAAGTAAGGCAAGGGAACAACTGGGTCATTGCACTTCAGGTTCTTAATGCAACAGACACTAGGTGTCCTGTTAACCTACCTACTTGGTATCCTCTAGGTCAGGGGTTGGCAAACATTTTTTTTTTTTTAAAGCACTAGAGAGTAAAGATACTCCTTTTTATGGGTCATATAGTCAATGTTGCACCTACTTAAGTCTGCCATTATAGCATGAAAGCAGACATAGAGAAATTCATAAATGAGTGAGTAGCTATGGTTCCAATAAAATTTATGGAGACTGAAATTTGAATTTCATATAATTTCACATGTCACAAAGTATTAATCTTTTTTAAAAAAACTTTTTTCAACCATTTAAAAATATAAAATCTGTTCTTAGATCATGGCTGTACAAGAATAGGAAGTGGGCTGAATTTTGGGTCATGGGCTCTAGTTTGCTGACCCCTATTTTAGTCAAATAAATCACTGTCAGTCATAATGCTGAAAGCTTAGCATTACTGAAATAGATATTCTCTAGGACAATGCTGTTGGTGACACTGTCTTGTTTTATAGGTGACACTGATGATAAAAATCGTTCAAGAATTTAGATGTGACATCTGCAGCAGGTTCAAATCTCTCAGCTATAAGACAAACTGGATACTTCGTAAAGATTTTCATCTGTTATGCACAGAGCCAAAATCCTTTACTGAAATTGTCTGGGCGAGCAGCCTGCTGGGTCCAGTGATGCACTAGTAGACAAAGAAGTTGAAAGAGAAGGATGGCATATTCTTTGGATGACTGGCAGATTGTGACACCAAAATGGCATCAAGCCCTACTATGATTCCAAGGACTTCATGATTAAACAAAAATTGATTTTTTTTTTCTTGCTGGGAGGGGGTAGTTGAAGTAAATTTGATCTTTACTTGGGGAATGTGTAATGTATTATCATTCCATAATGATACATGGTAATTGCTTTGGTAATCAAACTTTAAAGGTTTTGTCTGTTTATGAAACTTACGTAGTTACCACCTTTTAGTATTGGATTCTCTTACTTTAAGGGAACTACGGTAAAGAAAAACATGTTTAAACTAAAAAAATTAACCTAAAAAGGTTAATTTAAAGACTTACCATTTTTACGGGAAAGTTTTTACTTTGGGGGATTTTTGAAATTTCGCTCCCCCACAGCATATATAAAATATGTTTCTGGGGTGCCTGGGTGGTTCAGTTGGTTAAGCGTCTGACTCTTGATTTCAGCTCAGGGCATGATCTCAAGGTTATGAGATTGAGCCCTTTGTTGGGCTCACACTACACTTGAAGCCTGCTTAAGATTCTCTCCTACTCCCTCTCTTCCTCTCAAAAAAAAAATAAGTTTCTATTTGCAAAAAGGTACTGTACACAGAATTTTCTAAGAAAACATCCTTTTGAGTAGGCTCTTGAACTCAACAGTAGAAAATCACACTATACAACTAAGTGCACAGAACAGTTGAATTAAAAAATTAGTATCTTTAGACCTGTTAACTAAATTCACTTAAAATGATTTAGTGAGCGGGTGTGAATTGAAAATAAACCTGTATTTTCTAGAACCACTGAATCACAAGAAAACTGGAACATCAAAGTATTCTCTGAACCAAATCAATATTTTATTTGGTTAGAGCCCCTGCTTTTGGTATATATCATTTATTCCAGTTGTAGAGGATTTGAAAGCAGTTCTGGGAAATGAAGTGGGTGGATTCTCAATGTTGAATCCCATTTTTTTTTTTTTTTTTTCAGTGAATCTTCAACATTTTTTTAATCTTAGCTTTCAACAAAAACTCTGGCATCCCAGGATATAAAACTTAGATTACATTTTATATAGTTCATGCCGCTCATCTACAAACAGAAAAAGATTCCCTCATGACTTACCTTGAAAGCTGTTCAGGGCATATACTCTTTTATTCAAGGCATATACTATTCAATTTGTCTGTGTGCCTCTGCCACTGCTGTCAGGGCGCAGTGCAACTAACCTAGCCATCCTGCTAGGAAGAAGATCTGTGGGTTGCTGCGTAGTGGAAGTTACATCTAATTTACAAGTCAGATTAGAGATCAGAATCATACGATAGCTTTATGTGGAATTGATTTCATTTCATGGTTTTTAAGCTATGTTTTTCATTGAAAGCAGTGTCTATAACTGAAAGGTGTGGTGTAGCATTTGAATGCCTTAAACTCTTGAATCTGGAATGAAAGGAATATTCTTATAGACGTTCAGATCCTAGAACTCAGGGATTTTGAAATAAAATGTTCTTGTCATTCATTTATTGTGCCATAATTAAACTGCCCTGTGGATTTTATTTGGGTTAATATGATTAATATTTGGAAAACTTTGCCATTTTCAAATATGAGGCACTTTAGGAAAGACAGTTTTGTATGTGTCTGTGTTTAAATAAATCAGCAAACAGCTTTTTACCTATAAGTAAGATTATATTTAATAAAAATTAGTGGGTTTAACATTGATAACCTATTCCAGTCAGGAATTCCACTGTGGTCTTCTGGAAACCTATCAGGGGGAGGGAAAAATAAAAGAACACTTTATAAATAGCAATTTTGTTTTCCTGAATCAAACTTTTTTCAAAATATATGGAAGAATGCCTAACTATAGCTTGATAGGTTGCTGTTACTCTTTAATTCACCTGTTCTTACTGAAATTGAGAAAACATATCATAAAAGTATAAAAAAAGTAGTTCATTGCAGAAAGGGTAGTGCAGTTGGAATTGAGAATATAGGGGCAAAGAAAAAAATTTGTGTTTATCTTTTAGATTGAGTCAGTAATTCATTTGAGTGTAATCAGGAGAAGAAAATCCAGGTGTTTAAAACTAGCTTTGTATCAGTGGTTAAAATGATGTCTAGTTTTATTTTCCCCCAATACCCATGTGATAAGTTCTCATGAATTGATTTCTGAGGTAACAAAACATTGGGATTTAGAGCGTTTTGAGAATTCATCAATTACATTATTTTGTCCACTGGTTGTTTTCCATAGGACCTGTTCATTTATGATATTTACAGGACATGAGGAAGACTGTGATTCTGGCTTTCATGGACTTCAAAAAAGACTGAGGAAAGATTAATGCCAAGTTAGGATGTAGTAGGCATACATTACTCTATTAATTTTAGTAGAGCAGTGATTGTTTAGGTGGATCCTTCCCCTGTTGCCTTGGTCCCTAACTTCATAATCCACTGGCTAAAGCTGCTTTTCATTAAGGCAAGTGAGAGGCAATTTTATGAATGGAGAAAGGCTATTCTAGACATTGGGAAACTAGTGGAATGTAAAGGGAGAATGAGATCGTAAATATGATTGTGACAAGATTATAGATGAGCACTCTGTTTTTGGATTGACAAGGGTGCTAGAGGAAGGGTATCAGAACAGAGTGGTTTATTATGTACTATTTATTGAAAGCCTCCTGTTTAGTAGGTCTCGACTAAGATACTTTGCATCAGTTTTAATTCTTTCCACGACCTTGGAAGCAAGTGCAATTATCCCAGTTTCCTGATGAGGAAAGGTACTAAGGGGTATACCCAAGGTCTTAGAAGTAAAGGTAGAGTCCCACATTATGTTTCATATTGTATAAAGGCCTTTTCTCTCTAGTCATTGTCTGATAAATGAAGTAAGTATTCCAAAAAAAAAAAAAAAAAAAAAGTAATCTGAAAGGCCAGCATATAGTATGGGAAGATTTTAGGATTAATGGCTTTTAACATAAATGACTTCATGTTGGTGTTGTAGACAGGTGTTGGAGCCTCCTTGGAAAGCAGTGAGACAGTACATTTGCAAATATTGTATCTGGACTCTAGAACTCCTTCAACTAATGGGTTACCTTTGGTATTAGTTAATATAGTATTGTATAGCTGTGTTTTCAAATTTAAGTGATACCCTGATACAAAATCTATATATGAAAGGCCGGTGATAATGAGTTGCCACAGTAACTTAAATATATCATAAGCTAGATTGGATTAACTTCAAATAGAATGTGTACAAAAGTGCTTGAAAGAGGGTAGGTTTAAGCAGTCTGATACAGTCTAGGGTGACTACCAAACAATTTGGGGTGTGGGAAAAACAGTAGAAAAGAGTCATGAAGCCCATTAAAATGAGCACCATAGGTGTTATTAGGCTTTACAAGTAGACCTAGACAGCCCATAACCAAACATCATTTTCTTGGAAAGGACACATTCAATCACTTGGTTAGGAACAGTGCCTTAGCAGCAGTATTTTTAAATGTAAAAGACAAACAACTGTGGTAGGGTGTTGGAGTCAAATGATCCAACTGTTTTTTCAGGTATAGGGTGAAATGATAAGGAATCTTTGCCTTTGTCATTCATTGGTAATTTAGGAGGAGTGAAGTTAAAAAAAAAAAACAACACAGCCAAGGTGGTCAGCATGGTCACAGCATGGTCAAGTAGCTTATATATGAGTACTTTTAGCATCTCCATGAAGAATGTGGTATTGAGACAGGAAAAAATGGTTGAAATTATTGAACTCTCAAAATGTTAGAATGCAAAATAATTATTTTAATTGCTTGAAAATACAGGGGAAAAAGTAGGAAACAAATCCCACAAAGGGTAAGAATTAAGGAGGGCTATTCAAGGGTGAAGTGGTTGTATGATATTCCTAGATAGAGTTTTTACTCTAAAAAAGGAGAAAAATTGGCACGAGAGATCAGGAAAAGTGATTTAGAAGTAGATGTTACTGAATTAGGGAAATAAGCTCCTCAAAAATTCTTAATAGGCAGAGAAAATATTGGATAAGTGGGGAAAGAGTGATCTTTAACATGAAGTTGCATTCATATTTTATAGTAGTCAAAAGTGATCACCTGTTTTTAGGTCATGACCTCCCTAGAAAAGACATGCTGATTACTCTCATTCTGTGAAAGCTTATGGATGTTTCTATAGGCTAAAATTAGATATGTACCTTGTGACAGTGGGTAAACACTTTGGACTTGGATTTGGGTTTTAGAATCTGATTTAGGCTGTAAGTTTGTTATTACTAATACATTTTCAACATTCACTAAGAGGTTATACTTTACATTAGCTGGCTATCCTTGGCATTGTCCAGAAGTAAGATATCAGATGTGATTTAAATCAACTTTATTGGGTATAATTTGTATACAAAAATATACTCATTTTTAAGTGTATAGTTAATGAATTTTGACATGTGTATCTACTCATATAACTACCCTCCGCATTCGAGATATAGAACATTTTAAATCCCCCAAAACTGCCCTTATGCTTCTTTCAATCAGTCCTTCCCTATCCTCCCTGAAGAACTAGTGTTCTGATTTCTATTTTCCTTAGATTAGGTTACTTGTTCTTGAAATTTACACAGAGTCATAGAGTATATACTGTTTTGTGTCTGGCTTCTTTTCTTCAACATAGTAGTTTGGAGATTTATCCAAATGTTATGTGTATTAGTGGTTCATTCTGTTTTGCTGCTGAATAATGTTCTGTTTTACCACAATTTGTTTATCCATTGTTTTGTTAATAGACATATGATTTTTTTTTTCTTTCTTGTTTTTGGCTATTTTGAGTAAAGCTGCTATAAACAGGATTCTTCTATGAGTCTTTGGTGGACAATATGTTTTAATTTCTTTTGATTAAATACCTAAGAGTGGAATTGTTCTGTCATAGGACTGGTTTATGTTTTAACTTTAGAAGTATATATATAACTTTATATGTATAACTTTTCCAAACTCAGACCATTCTCAGCATGTATTTTTAGTTCATATCTGTAAATCCCTATACTTTGTATTAGTTATGGATACTGGTTTGTACTAAATGGTTTCTGTAACCAGAGAGCTTTCGGGAGTATTCTTCATGTAATAATTGAAATCTAGTAAATAGTTTTATGATATATTTATTTTTTTTAAAAATCATAAGTTAGAGTGCATCATAAGTTATAGTGTATCTAACATTGACTTAAATATGTAATTATCAACTTGGTTTGTTGTGCAGAATTTTAAATTTTCATTTCTTTTGTAGGTAGCATATGTTTGAATTTTAAAGTTTGCACTCTCCATTTTATGTAGTGGCTCTTCGTTAAATATATATATATAATTAAATGAGATGTTCGGCATACAAATAATATACTAATCTACTGAGGTAAAATTTGTTTGACCAAATGAGGAATCTCTTTCTTTCCTTTTTCTTGATATATTTTGTCAATAGCACCCTCCTTTTTTGGTAAATCCTTGTTTCACATTGGTTGCTTAAAATGAAGGGTTCCTTTTATTAGGTAAGCAGTAACTGTAATGTAGGGGAATTGCACCTTGGATAATAGGATGATGACCAGGACTTGTTTGTTTCAGGATTTTAGCTCAAGCTCCAAAGCTGAAAATAAAGGTTAACAACTATCCTTGCCTTCTAAGGAGGGATATGGGACTTAGTAAGAAAGAATGGAAGTGCAGCATCCACTTACCATATATAACAGAAATTAGAAAAGAGGGGAGTATTAAAAAGTGTCGTTCAGATGAAGAATTGTTAATGTATTGGAGTTAGTTCTGTGACCTTTCCCTGTTTTTCCCTAAAAGGACCTTTTGTTCCCAGCCCAGAATTTGAGTGTGTCTGCCAGAAGTGTAGATTGGTATTTAACATCTTGTCTGGATGTTTAATGAGCTACAGAATCTTGGGTCTTTTACTGCAGTGGCATCTTCCAGAGAGTTATTGAGGGAGTATGACATATGTCTTCTAGAGTTTGGGGCATTCCTGAATATAGACTTGTTTCTGGAGGGGAGGAGGATAACTGGAACCAGTGAGATGGCATGTTGAGTGAGAGGGTAGTAATGCAAAGAGCTGACATTTGTCTATCTGGTATGGTAAGAAAGCATGAGGGTTTTTTTTTTTTTTTTTTGGACCAAGTGCACACCCTGGGATGTTACCAGGTTAGAGTTATCTTGGTGGTTGCTAGCAGGGAGAGCTTCCCGTATAAGGGGACTGTGGGTAGGATAGTAAAAAGTCAGCCTTAGAATGCACCCCCGCGCCAAGATGCTCAGGGTGGAGGGGCCAGCCTCCTATGCTTGCTGTAACTTATAGCTTAAATGCTGCTGTGAAGACCTGAAATGTACTGTCTAAACGGGGCGCTTTTGAGAAAGAGAGAAGGTATTATCAATAATTACGCAAGGATTACAGATCATCCTGCTTCATGGCCATCCAGTAAACCCCCATGGATGTAGGCACACAGGGCATTTGTCCCCTTCTGCCTTTCCTAGAAAGTTGAGGGAGGAAGTGGAGAAAATTGAAAGAGCCAGGAAAAATACTGAAAAAAAGGTGGATTATGTTCTTTCTCTTGGCTGGCCTGGGGTTGGGGTGGGGTTGTATGGATACTCTTTGATTAATATATGAAATTGAAGATTTAAATTGGACTACATTATATGTTGCAATATTAGAAAGTGATTGAGAAGCAGTAGGATTTATCTGGGACATTATGGAGAGATGGGGAAGTGAGATCTGGAGGAGTATGTTTAAAGTGATGAAAGGAAATTAAAGCATATATCCCATTAAGTTCTATATATTTGATCATTTTCTTAGTTTAATAGTTAATAGTTAATAAGCTAAACAAACCTTCAGTGAGTACCTACAATATGATACGTTAGGTATTTTGTTAAGCATTTTAGGGAAGGCAAAGATGGCTAAGATTTTTTGCCCTGAGGGATCTTCTGCTTTAGTGTATAGAGCTAAGTAATCCATGGTGGAATCACTAGTTGCTCTAGACATGTAAGTGGCAATGTTCTGGGAATGTGGAAAGAACTGAATACTGCTCCAGTTCAGGTCAGGCTTTGTGGTCCGGGCTGAATTTGGCCTGGGACTTGAAGGAGGAGAAGGGGATCAGCTGGGAAGAAAGGCATTCTAGCATGAGGTAATAATCAAGACATGGAATTGGAAATGAACAGACACCTAGAAAGAAATAATGCTCATTCCACACTGAAAAATTTACACTTTAAAAAATGGTTTCAAGCACTAGTTAAGCATGCTTGCCCATGTTATAATTCTGGTTGACGTTTGGTATTCTTTTATGTGTCATTTTTTTATTTCCTTAGTAATGTACAAAATGGTGTCTATCTTTTTGAGATACAATGTAAAAATGTTACTCACTTTAGAACCTAGATGGTTATAAGCATCTAAAACCAAACTTCTAAATCTAATCACAAAGTCTCTTTCCTTGATTTAAAACAGTAAAATGTAGAGAAGATGATGATTTTTACGTGGGATCTTAAGAAGCATTTGGCAGTGCAATTAGTTTCATAACAAGTGATTGTTTTTTAAAGCCTTCCCAGAATAAGAATGAGTATCTTGATGCTGGTGTCACTTTTAAATAGCTATAGTTCCAGGAATGTGTCTGTTCACGTTGTTATCTTAAATACACACCTTATCTGTCCATATTGCTGTACTTCAGATGTGAAAGTAAAAATAAAGGTGTGAAGTGCCTAGCAGACTTGTATGGATTTATGTAAATCAGAAAACATACAAACAATCCATTAGTGCTGAGGCCTTAATGTATTAAATTCAAGTATGGACTATTTCCTGAAAATCTTGCACACACACACAGACACACAGACACACACACCTCATACCCAGTGATTTACTTTGCAAAAAAAAAAAAATAATAATAATGAAAATCTTTAATTTATAAGAGGTTTTTTTCCTCTGAAC